AATAGGGGTCGAAAACGACTTTTTGACAAAAGATTATTTAGAATAAATAATCTTAACCAAGTTGGTAGAATATGTCTCAAGGTTTTCGTAGATATAAAGAACGCCGAAATCCGAGTTATAACGAAGAAGTTATGACTCGTCGAAGTTTCGGGATGGAACTGGTACGGCACCGGGAAGCGTAAATAGTGAATTTACGATAGAGCGAGTTTTAGCCTTAGCAATCTAAATGAAAGTCGTAGAATACGTTAAACCAATAGCGTCCATAAAAAGAACGCCCAAATCTGACTTCGTATGAGGAAGTTATGATTTTTCGAAGTTTCGGCTTAGCAGTGTACAGCTCGAAGTTCGAATATTAGATCAAGCGGTTTTTAGCCGACACAACCTAAACGAGAATCGAAGATCTCGTTAATAGTAGCATAACGATAAAAAGACAGACAAAAACGGACGTCGGATGAAGAAGTTATGAATTTTTAACGGACCAATCATGTCCCGGCCTGTTAAAAATATAACTTTTAAAATAAAGTCAAAATTAGCCGACAGAGTCTAAACGAAAGTTGTAGAGTACGTTCCCGCCTACGCGTGGATATAAAGAACGTCGAAAATGGAGCTCGTATGCGAAAGTTATGATTTTTAGAAGTCGGAAAGGGAAATTACGAAATCTGTTGCTCGATCGATGACGTGGCCAAATCTCAGCTGTCGCTTGCTGAGCACGGTCTCGCTTCGGATGAAGGACGCGTCACCCTCGCATTACGTCCAGCGTCCGAGCTCGGAACGTGCCGCGTACGCGAACCCCTCCCTCGGTCTAGCTTAAGCCACGTCGCACCACCGAATGCTCGCCACCTCGCACCTTATCCGAAGCTACGCGCCGCGTAGCTGCTGAAGGCGCAGGGTAAATCCGAGCTGCTTGCTCCTATAAATAGATGCCAACTCTTCTGGATTTTTCACACTTTTCCACTTCTCTCTCTAAATACTTTCTCTCTCTAACCCATTCCAACTCCCCTAAACCCTAGGAAAAATCCCTAGCACCCTAAGGAAGCCCCGAGGCTCCCGGAGTCCCGAGAAAAAGGGTCTTTCGGTTCGGAAACGCTGCTCCGAGCAAAGCCCGGTTTTCTTTAAAATCCGCTGTAAGTGAGCTACGCCTACGCAATTTTTAATATAACTTTTAAATAATTATAGTAATGTTATTAGGTCCTTAAAATAATTATTTGGGCTATTATTATAAGTTATGTTGAGTGTTATTTAACGCTTATATAATAATAATAATAGCTAGACTATTAATTAGTCGCGGTTAACGTTAAAACTAAACTCTAGTGGTATTACTACTAGGTTTTGATCAAGGAAAAATTGTTTTGAGATAACGAAGTGTTGTTCGAGTACCGAGTCACCACCTAATCAGGTGAGTGCATAGTTACTTTCATATTACACATAGATATGAAGTATTTTTATATAAATTACGTGCTATGTGTGCATATTATCTGAATACTTGCTGTCTATGTTGGATGAATGATTTTATACACGTTTTTCATGATTTAAACTGTATATGTATTTTATATCTACAAAAATGTTGGGGTAAAACATGGGTAGATGTAATAAGACGATGTGTGATAAAATGATGAGAGGCCTCGATGTTGTTGGTGATCCAGTCATCTAGCGGAGTATAGATGACGACCACGGACTCTTCTAGACAGTCCAGTGGAACGCTAGCAGGCTCGCAACCTGTAGGTGTTTGTGAACGATGTGTTCACCGGTGTACTCCATCCCCCTCATGGTTGCCTTTAGGACATTTATTGCTGAGGAACCTCCTTAGCAGTAGTGTCCATCCCGATGATGATCCTTAGGCTAGGTCCCTTATGATAGGTGTTTAGGGACGTAAAGTGAGGATAACGGGAACGGGTAATCGGGTTATTGTTTGATTGATGAAATTAATAAACTTATTTATTATGGGTTGAAAACCCTATGTGCTCACCAGGCTCCCAAGCCTGACCCACTCAGTTTATTTATATCACAGGTGTTGATATGAAGTCACATTACACTGAGAGATTAAGGAGATATAAATCACTAGTGATAATGAATGTAAGTTTTGTTTATGCTTATGTTTCTGTATTGACGATGACATCCCAAATGTTTTAAAATGAATAAAAATACTTTTCTTCGGAAATGCTTTGATAACGTATTTATCATGTTTTACTGGGAACAAATTCCGCAACATTTTTATTAAAAGAGGTACTCTGATTTTTATAAAGCATAAACAAAATTGGTCTTTTCTGGCCGTGAAAACGGGGGATGTCACAGTTGGTATCAGAGCATTAGTTTAAGTGAACTAGGAATTTGTAGGATTTTTAGAATTAAACTTAGAATGCTAAGCGATGATTGTGAGGTGTGAGCACTAGCTTATTTTAGGAATTATGCCTAAAATGCTTTTATGTGCTAAATGATTTATGATGCTTTATGATGCTAAATGTATGATCAGATCTATGGTCTGTTGCCGACCGGATCTGGAAACTTTACGTGTTCAGACTTCTAAACGTTTAATTACGGTATTAGAACTGACATATAACTTTTCGGAGTAATAAGGAGATTTACACGTCAATCGTAAATTAAGTCTTCTCTATCTAAATTCTCGTCACTCCACACTGAACGTCTGATTTGGTGCATAGATCAACATGGTGAGCACTAGAAGCGGATTTGGAAGCGGTAACCCGCAGCCCGAGCCACCAGTGATTGAGCGTGTGCCAGAGGTAGCAACTGCACCCGAGACGATCACGGTGGCAGGAGTACAAGCAATGGTGCAGATGATGTTGGATCGTCAGATGGAAGAGACAAGACGGTTACTTCAACAAAAGAAGGACGAACTTACTGTGCCGGTACGCCAGGCACCTACTCTTGAGGCAGCCATCTGGGTAGAGGTTGGTAAGAAGAGGAAATTTGAGGGAACTGCAAGGTCCAACAGGAACAACATGTTCTCACAGTCTGGAGGAGGAATAGGTGAAGCAAAATGGTGTAACAAGTATGGAAGGAAACCCAACGGGGGATGCCATAAGGAAGTGACCTGCTTCAAATGCGGGAATACTGGTCACTATGCCCCCAAGTGCTCAACCAAGGAGGAAGTTTGCCTTAAGTGTAGTGGAAAGGGACACTTCAAGCAGGATTGTCCGATAAGGGCTACAACGCCAAATGTACCGCTGAAGCACTATGAGAGATACGACGAGAAAGTGACTTGCTACAAATGTGGAAAGAAAGGGCATTACGCCAGCAAGTGCACATCTAAAAAGAGGGTGTGCTACGGATGTAACAAAGAATGGCATTTATCTAGGGACTGCCCGAAGAAAAATGAAGCAGCAAGAGCGGATGCACCTCCGAAGCCAAGAAGCATCCTTAACGAAGCATCTAACAATACAAGGAATCAGGAGTGAGGACAGATATCCGAGGAGCAAGTCACGAAGTAGTCACAGTGCTGTGTGGTGTAACCTACTAGAGGCATAGTCTAGGGTGAACTTGAACACCTATGTAATAGTTTCAAGAAATAATAAAACCTTCGTTTTGTTATCTGGTGTGTTAAACTGTTATGTGATTTTCTTGTATAATAACTTGGAAAAACTGCGAGACAATACTTGGGACGAGTCCCATCATAGCCGTCCAGTCACTCCTAAACGCCCTGAGGCGATCCTCCATCAGCTCAATAATCCCTTCCTTGATCGACCCGAAAATCATCGAGTTCGACTCAAGGATGCCTCTAGTGATCTCAGAAGCAATGAACTCACGTAGTCCCTCATCAACTGGCTCGGCACCTTATCCCGAACCTGATCTTGAACCTGATCCTGACCCTAAACCTCCTCCTCCTCCGTGTCGCGTAATCATCACCATTCTGAAACAAAACACATAATCGTCAGGGTCATACATAACCTCAGAAGGTCTCACATACTACAAGTTCCCTGGTTCTATCTTGGCCCTCATTGAATCGAGTACAGATCCTCTGTTTTCAGTAGTACGGGCCCATACTACCTTCCACATCTATCCGTACTTTCCTCAAGGTTTGCCTTGACTTTACCACGTCCCTTCTACCGCTACTGTTCTCTGCACTAGTCCCATCCTAGGCTTACCCTAGGGTAATCCTCCGACCTACTCTCCGCCATCCGCTGCATAAGGAATTCCTACCACCTTTACCTAACTAGCTTGCGAATACCATTACATATCACTAAGACCAGATAATTCTTCGAATGAGAGGTCCTACCCTACAACGGTTGGACTCAAACGAGAGCTGAGCAATAGGGCTACACCTAACCTTCTGAAATTATATAGTCCTCGCAATATGTAACTTAACGTATTCGTTTACTAGTTAGTTAAAGATAACTAGAATCCCTAAAAGCACAAAGCAAGCAACATTCGAGCATCGAGTAACCATACCAAGCGTATCCTATTCAGGCCATCATATTACTAACTAATCAGTTCCAGCATGTAACTCAATAAGCACATATAACAGGCACATAAGGCATCTTCCTAGATCCTTAGCCCTAATCTAGCATGTAGTTCTCATACACATATAATAGGCACATAAGGCATCCTTCCTAGATCCTTAGCACTAATCTAGCATGCAGTTATCATAATCATATCATATCGTAACATAACATGTGTGGGTATCTTGGGGAAAACTTACTTGAGCTTGGTCGGTCGCACGCATCACACACCTTGTTCTTTCTCAAAACCTTTTTATATTAAACTTTAGAAAAATTATTTTCTTGTAAAAATCTTTTAAACCCTCGATTTGAGTCCAGACGCCTCCGAAGCTGCATCCGAATCCCTCAAACCAAGGCTCTAATACCAACTTGTAACATCCCAATTTTCTAGACCAAAAATTTTGTTTTTAATTAAGTGACTTGTAAAACAATTTACTGAAAAACATCATTGATTCATATCATTTCATAAAACATAGTCAAGTGTCTCAAACTATATCATCAAAATAGTAAAAATATGTCAGAGTACAATCCCATGGATCTCAAAATGCGGAAATCATATGTGTGCAATGCGCTGCTGCCATGCCGACTTCTTCCCCTTCGCTGAAGAGGTACCTGAAACAAAACTGAAAACTGTAAGCACGAAGCTTAGTGAGTTCCCCCATCATACCACATACCATAAACATATACCGCCTATCCCTCAGTATCTTTCAACCGGTATCTGGTTGGCATAACCGGAAGCTGGACTTCCCTTCGGTATCTTTCAACCATAGCCGAGAGCTGACCTCCCTTTCGATATCTTTCAACTTGTAACCGGGAGCTGACCTCCCCTTTGGTATCTTTCAACCGGTAACCGAGGACTATTTCACCCCTACCACTACCACATAATAACATAACATGAACATACTGCTAGGCATGCGTGGGTTCTAACGACCCCTTCGGTATCTTCCAACCGGGAACCGGGGACTATTCCCCCTACTACCACTATCACATAACATCATATCATGCTAACACATAAAACATATCAGGTAGTAACAAACCTAGATAAGTATCACAAAGACAATCATCTATCAACCAACTCCTACTAGTGGGTCGACATTGTGGACGTAGACCCACTGCTACTGGAAGGTAACTCACCTCGTAAAGTTGAGTGTCGAATCTCACGGGAAGTAATCTCTAACAGCTGCTCCGATGACTCCCGACTATCATAATCATAATAACACTCAATCAGAATCTATAACACTACTTAGGGTAAAATGACCATTTTACCCCCTTGGTCTAACTTGAACCATTCCTAAGGCCCAATTCTAACTTATTAAACGCAGTGCAACCATGGCCCATCAAAGGCTTCCTAAGGCCCATTAATGGCCCAATTTTCTAAATTGGGCCCAACACTTCAAATGGGCCTTTTCACAAGTCCAATAAGTCCTTAGCCCAAAATGAATAATTCTCGAATGGCCCAATATGGCCCAAAAGGCCCAATACTTCTAATTCCAAATTCCCAGGCCCAGAACTATACTCCACAGTGGGCCACGGGGCCCAATAGTCCAGACCCAGCCCTCTAAGGCCCAAAATTCAAAGTATGGGCCAAACCGAGGCCCAAAACACGCCAAGCCCATATATGTTGAGTACGCGGGGCGTACTCCTCTGTACGCTAAGCGTACTGGCTAAATGGCGTGTACGCTGCGCGTACCTGCATGTACGCCCAACGTACTTCCCTGTTAAGTCACTTTTCCCATTAAGTGTTTAATACTCTAATCCAAAGGCTATAATCACAGATCCAAGTCTTCTTCAATGTCTTGATCCATAAAGTCGATCACTTGGTGGCTTGCAACCTACCAAATGAGCCCAAACATTGAATAATAGCAACTAACTCCATAGAAATGGCTGGATCTCATGCATGGTTACATAAAGGCCTTAAAGGTTGAAACTTTACTACTAAAGTAATGCTTTGAGCTCCAAGGGTGGCAACCCTAAGCTCAAAAACGAAGTTGCATGATAAAGATCCATCCTTTGGACCTAAAAAGGTCCAAAGCTCCATAATCCTAGATCTAAGCTTCTAAGAGGAAAGTTAGAAGCTTTATACCTCTTTTGAGTGCCAAAAGATGAAATAGTCCCAGATCCTTGAGCTCAAGATACTCAAGTTCTTGTTCTTCAACTCCTCTTCTCTTCTTCCAAGCTTTTCTTCACCAAAAATGAGCTCAAAAGGTCAAACACACACAACAATGGAGTATGAGGGCGTATTAGGGTTTTCTGAGGGTAACGAACTGGTAAGGAGGCCATGGGGTGGCTATAATGGGGTATTTATATGTCTTAAACCCTAAAAATTAGGGTTTTGGCATCTGCTCACGTACGTTGCGTGTACGTGTGCGCGTCCCCTGCATCCAATGCGCCTCTACCCCCCGCGTACACCAAGGCTACGCCCAACGTACGTCTTATGGGCGGCCCAAATTCTCAGCCCACTTGCTTAAGGTCCATTCCAAAAATCCACTTGTCCCATTATTAGTCCAATTAACAAATATTAATTACTTAAAATAAACAATACCTCGAGAGACGAATGTTACAGAGAGGGAGAAGGAGTCAGAGCGACGGTGGGAGTGGGGTTAAAAACCTCTGAGTTTAAACTCTGGCAACAATAGAAGTTGTATATTCCGAAGAATCGGTCTCTGAATCGGGGTCAACCCTCTTTCTGAAAGGACTGAAACAAGTATTAGATGAGGAAGAACCGATCTCTGATTTGGTAGGATTCAGATTGCTCATCTGAACCACATAAGGAATGAACTATTATTTTAGATGAAAATGGAACATCACTTCTCCTTGAAACTATAATCTCCTTTCTCCCTTCAGTGATTCTATTCCTTGAAACAACATCACTTAAATGATGAGGAGAAGGAAGAACAGTTTTGGGACTTGCATCCACTACACAATACTTTTCAAAATCCATCTCTGTATATTGACCTCTTTATAAGATTTGCAATCTGTAATAAGTATAACACAACAACCAGTAACCTGCTGAACATTAAACATGCACATGAAGGTTATTACTTTGAGTTTTTCACAGTGTGTGTGTGTGTGTTTTAATGCGTGAAAATGAAGTGTTTGGCGAAAGAAGATCGTGCGTTTTTTCTTAACTGATGAGAGATAGATGGATATATATATATATATATATATATATATATATATATATATATATATATATATATAGAGAGAGAGAGAGAGAGAGAGATGTGGACCCTTAAATAAAAGGTTATAAAAGTCATTTTAATTTTCAAAGGGATCAAAACCACACACAAACATGGTCAAAATGACCACTAATCCAAAAAAAGTTGTGGTTTGGACCAAAAACCAGAAAGAATGCATCATAGAGAGACCATTTTTACGTTTTGTCTAATTATTATTATTATATGCGTTGTCCACTGTTGTTGATTTTTTATATATTTATTTTTAACTTTTTTAAGCCGAAACACCACAATGTTTTATCATCATCAAGAATAGGGAGATTCAGTGTATTTTATGCTTGTGACTTATATTTAATGTCCATGTCAATTTTGGTTTTATGATAACAAACATTAACCTCAGATCTTATTACATTGCTAATCATTTTGCTCGGTCTTTTATGTGAAACTTTATTAGTAATGATTAGTATAATAATGAATCAACAATTTGGGTGTGATATGACTTCTGTAACATCCCGTTTCAAAAAATAAATAAATAAATAAATAATAAACCCTAAAACCCCGAGATGTATTTTTATATTTTTCTTTTAGCCCTAAATCCATAATAATTAATCAGAGTGTTAGCCACAAGGAGTTAAATGTTTTAAATTTTGGAAATCGGGGGTTAAAGTGTAACTTTCGGACTAGTTATGAATATAATTGTGGAAGCTGGGGGTTGTTTGGTAATTAATGGATTTAATCTTAAAATGATTTTGTGGCAAGGACTAAAATTGAATAAAATGAATTAAGTTTGAAAGAAGGAGGCGGGACTAAAACCCGACACCCCCCTCCCTTATCCTCTCGTTTAAACCAAACCCTAACCCTAATGTTTTAGGAGCCACCACCTTATCCCTCAAATCTCCAGCCGCCGCCATCACCATTGTCGCTGCTTAGAATCACCGAGCAACCACTGTAGCTCCTGCTACCGACGAAGACGAGGATCGACTATAGGACGTCGTGACCGTTGGGGAGGTCGGAAGAACCGAAAGCTCGTGGACGATGTTGCCATTCTTCGGTAAAGGCGCAAACCCATTCATCTTCTCCGTTTTCTTTTGTTGCCACACCGCATCCCTCGCCGACGCCGCTCCATGCGGCTGTCATTTTGGTGCTACCTCTGGCCGCCGTTCTCCTCCAAGAGATTGGTTGTGGCTGTGTTTGTGTTTCACGTGTGCATGTGTGCTGCTGTTGCGAGTTTGTGAGGTGTGTGTGTGTGTGTGTGCCTTGTTTGGCCGGAAAACAAAGAAAACCACCATGGTGGCTGCCACCTTGCTACCAAATTCTGCCACCACCAGCCACCGTGTAAGGTGGTTGTGTGCGTGTAATATTGTGTGTATGTGAGGTTTTCTGCGTGGTTGTTGTAGTGGGAGTTATTTGGTCGGATTCTAACTCAAAACCGCCACCACCGACGTGAGAGGGTGGTTGTCGCCATGGACCGCCACCGACCACCATTGCCCGAGGTGGCAGTAGGTGGTGTCCGACTTACTAAACATTAAACCTAAACATATAACCTTAGACCTAGTGGCACGTGTTTGGGTTGGAAACCCTAACTAGGGTTTAGAAAACCCTAATATCAGAAACCTTAGTTCGGGACTTATCGGGACCCGCATTTTGGACCACTGGTTAGACTTACAAATCATATCCGACCATATTGTATAATTGCCCTGTTGTGGTGTTGGACTCAATGGATTAAGTCCCTAAGGGGTTAAGTGTGAAACACTAACCCTAGTTATGATTTTATGAGTAAACCCTAGAAACGAGAAGCCTTATTTTGCACACGAAGATCGGGGCGCGTATTTAAACTATTGTTTGGACTGTTATTGCACCCCGATATTGTTTAGGTCAAACTTTAATTGATGATGCTCTTAAGGGGGTTAAATCCTTAATGGGTTAAGTGTCCTCACTTAACCCCCAATCGTCATTTTATGTGAACCCATATTTGTCATTTCATGTGAGGTAGTCACTGTTGCAAGTGACTATGACTTGTGACCGGGTATTAACTCAAGTATCTTTCTGTGATTGGAAGTGAGTTGAAGCTAGTGGGATTCTTTGTTACTACTGTGGTGACCTACGTGCATATCGAGGTGAGTTCCTCTCACTGCACCCATGGGTCGAAGGCACCAATGTCAGCCCATTAGTTTTGGTTATCTTTTAGTAGAGGGATGTCATAGGGACTGTATGTGGTCACGTAGGATAGACTGAGGACTCTTGATCTAGGCTTTCTTGTCTGTTACTTGTTTGGTTGTGGCTCTAGAGTAGGATCAATTGTCCGGGTGTCTATTTCACCTCTGGGTACATATGGTTATGCATTCTTTGGATTGTCAGTTATGTACACTTGTGTGTAGGACGTTGTAGTATAGTAGTGATCTGCTAGACCAATATATGTGTTCATATGTATGATAGGAGGCTGTAGTAGTGGTATGCTGGCAGTGAAGCAGTGTGTTGTGAGAGGTCCAGTAGGCGGTAGTGAGCTATATGATTTGATAATTGTATATATTATGTGCCTACTTGATCCTTGTTTGCTTACAAGTTGACATGTTGTGTTTGGTTGGGTTGAGGCGGTCCTGCTTTGTGTTGAATGCCAAGATACCTGGTGCGGGCCGACTGTAAGACGTAGGCACGGAGGCTCGGGATGAGCGGTTGGGTTGAAGCGGTAAAGCCAACAAACCCGATACAATTGGGCATTCCAGTTCGATGACTGATTGGGCCCGATGTTCATTCTATTTGTTTGGTTATGTGTGGTATTTTGGGGGAAACTCACTAAGCTTTATGCTTACCCAGTTGTTTATTGTTTCAGGTATCATCGGTCATCAGGGGAAGGCGAAAGCGTGATTGTACACATTCATCAACAACAATGAAGATTATGCGCTTTAATATTACTCTGATTTTTTTATAAATGTATTTGGAATAAACAGTTTTCTCCATAACGGATTTATAATTGGGAAGATTTACTTAAATAAAAATGTAAATTTTTGGTCGTGAAAATGAGATGTTTCAGCTTCTTTACCCTTTACATACTTAAGGGTGTCGATCGGGGCAAACATGGGCCTTAAAAGGAACTGGAAACCGATTATCGAGAATGTGAAAGCAAAATTATCTAACTGGAAAGCAAAAACCTTGTCCTTCGGGGGCCGTCTTACTCTTGTCAAAGCGGTTCTTGGTAGCCTTTCGTTATATTATTTTTCGATATTCAAAGCACCGAATTGCATCGTTGAACATCTTGAAAAAATTCGTAGAAGATTCATGTGGGGCTGAAGTGAGGAGAACAATAAAATCAGTCGGGTAGCTTGGGATAAGGTACTTGCACCAAAAGAAAAAAGAGGTATCAGTGTTTGGTCATTAAGGGCATAAAACCTATCACTACTGATTAAATGGATTTGGAGACTCAAGAAAAATAAAGAGGACTTATGGAGCCGGGTTATTATTGGTATCCATAATCTTGCTCGTAAACCGATGAAGCAATTGGAAAAGAAAACACTGCCTGGTGCGCGGAACAACATAGTCAAGGCAAAAGGGGATCTTGAGAAACTGGGAATCGATGATGAGAGTTTGTTCTCCTGTTCTGTTAGGTCTGGGGTGGAGACTCTTCTGGACTGACCGATGGTTGGATTTTGGTACTCTTGCTGATCGATTTCCTAGCATATTCTCACTCGAAAAATGCAAATCAGCTCATATTGCAGAAAGAATCACTGATGACAGTTTTGTTGGAAGTTGGAAGAAAATCACATACTCGCTGTTAAAATGTTAGAACTCTCACATTTATAGGTAGCCATCAGTCTTTTTACCCCATCTTCTGATTCTGACTATTGGAAATTCAACCATTCTGTTGACGACATTTATAGTGTTGATTTTATGAGATGTTTGATTGACTTAAGATTAACTACTCCTTCGGACATCCATGTGATTTGGATTAAAATTGTATCTCTGGATATACTTGTATTTATCTGGAGATCATGTTTGGGATATATTCTCACTCTGTCCACTCTTAAACGCAAACGCAGGGGTATAAATATTGATTCATTATCTTGTTCCTTATGTAATGGGGATGCGGAGACTTTCGATCATCTGCTGGCTACTTGCCCTTTTAGCTAGTAGGTAATATTTTGGAACTTTAAGTGGTGTAATATCCCCTTTCAATCATTTTCAAATGTAGCAGATTTCATTAACTTCGCAACTAGTGGACATTGCCCTAAAAAAAGAAAATTCTTATAGCCATTTTGTACGACTTGCTCAGGTGTGTTTGGAAAGCTAGGAACGATAAGTTTTTCAGTAAAGTTACCCCTTCCCTTACATCAATGATTGATTATATAATTACTTTAGTTTATGGATGAGTGAAACATAAAGGTAAACTTGGTGATTGTAACTTGACATAGTGGTATTGCCCTTTTAACGCCTTGCTAGGTTTTGTTTAATAAAAGTTGTCTGTTTCAGAAGAAAAAAAAAAAATCTAAAAATTATAGATCAATATAAATATATTTTAAAGATATAAAAATTATATTAAAAGTTCAGCATTGAATTTTATTAAATTCTTAATATTTTAACATAATTATTTTGTCTTGAAAATATAATGATTTTTAACTGTATATAAACAAGAATTTTTAATTGTTATATGCTTTTTATAATTTTGAACTTGTGTTAGAAAAAAAATAACAAAAAAATATCATCAAAATGTGAATAGTTGTTTTTGCGTGCCTCTCTCACACGTGAACTATTCAACCTATAACTTTTAAGCAATTTTTATTTTATTCTTTAACGTTTGAGATTTTTTATGGGTTTTCCACTTTTATAAAAAGGTATTTAATCTATAAAGAATTTTTATTTATATTATTCATACTAGCTCTATAGGTGGTGTTACACAATATAACTAAGATTAACAGGGGCGGACCATAGCAAATATCAGAAGTAGCCTCTGATATGATTGTATCTTCTGATATGTCTTTGAACCATTGGTAAGAAATTAGGTCTGCCAAACAGCTCTTACATTACAATTCACATACATATAAGGCTCTTGCTTAAGATAAAAGTGTTAAGAGTGATCTGAATATAGACTGAAACAAGTAGAAGGGATTTCTATTTACATTACGATTCACATAAATACTAAACCAATAGTTTTTTACAACTTAACCATCCCCCAACATCAGAGCATATAAACACATTACACAAACCACAAATCCAAGGGAAGGAAAAGAGAAAAGAGTACCTTAATATAAGCACCAGGTACAAGTCTTATTGCACGTTAAAAGTACAACTGCTTACATTGAGCTACTTCCACCTCAGCAGGGCAATAAGGACATTTAAAAGGCCTTGTACTGTTGTTCTTCGATAACTTGGTAATACTCTGTCTGCAAAGCACGTGCCCACATGACATCAACATCGGAGGATTATCTTCTCCGGCCTGCTCTCGGCTCACCGGACATACAAATATCGAGTGAAACTGAAACTCCGTACCCAAATCCACCGGCACCGGCAACTGCTTCATCGACTGCCATTCTTGCTTCTTCCCCGTCATCACATTCATCAGTTTTAATAAAGTCGGCAACCCTTGAACGCCGGCAGCCACTGTCACTTTCAAAGGGCTTTCATACGATTCACCTAACAGATTACAGAACTGGTGAGCGAGTTCGTCGGCGAGTTTCGCCCAGTGAGTTGGGGAAACGAGATCCGAGTACGGTGACGAGTCGATCTTTCCGGCCCATAGAAGACACGCCATGAGCTTTTGGATTTCGTGAAAGTGTTGGGTCGCGAAAGGGGCGAAATGAGTTCTTCCGTATTTCAGAGCTTCATCTCGACTACCATTTTGAAGAATTTCCAAGAATTGTAAACGATGGAGTTGTAATTCGATGTCGGATCCGGTTTTTTGGAGCTTGTCGTGGTTAGTCGTGGCCCATTTCAAAGCGGGAGTTAGGTCATGCGACTTCATGGATTCGAGAATTTCATACATTTCTAAGAATTGGGTTTTTTTGTCGACGATGGTTTCTTCTTCGTGAGCTTCGTTTATGAAACAATCGCCGATTTCAAACATGCTTTCACGATATAAGTGACTAGCGATTATTTGGTTGATTATGTGGGTATCGAAATCGACGTTTCTGTAAGACTTTGAAATGTCTGGATAGAATTGTTTCTCGAGGAGTTTAGTGTATTTGCTCATTGCGATGTTGAGTTCCTTTTGTGTAGCTTCGAGGTGATTAAGTGAAGCGATTTCTTTCAATTTGGTTTTTAGTTCACCCAGGATTAACTTGGGTTGAGAGGAAGGGACATTAATGGCGGATTGTATTCCTGATAATGTTTGTTGAATTTCTTGGGTGATTTGTTCGATTGTGTCCTCGATTTTTGAGGAGGAAAGAGTTTGCTTTTTGATGACAGAATCGAATGCATCTTTGATAGGATTCAGTTCCATAGTTTGGTACCTATAAAACAAAGATCTTGGAGCCATGAGAACATAAAGTTTAACCTTACTTGAGAATGTCTCTATTGAATATGTGTTACCTGAAGTCAATTCGATTGTGGAACAGTGGGAGAGATTTATCTGTTACAGTCTTGAATGTCTGTAATAAAACCCCATAAGCTATCTAAGTTTCTGAAAAACCTGAAAAAAAGAGCACCATTAATGACAAACATCTTTGAGGTTTCTTCTTTCCAACACAAGCAATAAATGCAATATCTCATTCTTATTAGTATCAGATACATACTGATATGGGTGAGTAATCTAGTGAAGGGGCATTTTGTAATAATGAGAAGGAAAGTTCAGATTGGTAAATAAAGAAATTGCCATTTGGTAAAAGATATTAGAACTTGCAAACAATATTAACTATGACATTCTTGTTTAGTGAAACACAACAAAATTGGGGGAAAAAAGGCAAAAAGAACAGATGATAAAACTTCAAAAAGCCAGAGGAAAGGTTATAAAGAATCTGTAGGAAACCTTATAGGGATCATAATTACCACATTAAAATCTAAACAAAGCTTTGGAACAACAAAATTGAAAAACACAACCTAAAATCTAGAAATTAGAAGGTTTGAATTTCAAAAACCAGTTTTCATAACTCAAAGATCATGATCATATCATATTTAGATATTTACTATTTAGTAACATAAAGAGCTGAATCATTAAACCACTAAACCAGTTTTCATAACTCAAAGATCCTTAGCCAAACCCTCCATGATTATAATCATCAGACGGATGAATATATACACAACACTTTCTATATGCAAGTCAACCGACATATCCAAGCAACCAAAGCTTACTGTTTATATCGATCGTCCAACAGATTCATCCATCGATCCAGTCAAATCTGACGATCTATAATCAGCTATCAATTTCGTCAAACAAAATTTTCAGTACACGAATTGAGAAATCTCAAACTGTCGCAATAGATTCGCAAACAAGTGATTAAGACTCCAGATCGACGTAACATAAAGTGATAAAGTAATGAAAGAAAAAAACACACGAAAACATAAAAACGATAGATTCCGCCATTAATTATGGCAATATATGCATGAACCACATGTAAAATATAGAACGATTAACAGGAAGACATGGAGAGGGAAAGAGAGTACCTTACCAGTTACCAGGGGGAGAGGGGCGGAGAAGGGAATTCCGCACCAGAGATTTGTGTGTAAAATTGAAGAAGTTTGAGAAGTGTACGCTTTATGATGGGAGATTTTGTTCAATTTACTTAGATGCTCCTTTCATTTCCTTAATTTTCCAATTCTTCCCCCGTAATTTATTTTTCTTCAACTTTTCAAGTCAATTAATTTATTTTCAAATGTGTCTCAGAAAATAAACATAATGGCTTATCAATTCTCATGATTCATGACTCATGAGATCAATGTGTTTGGTTGAGATATGTATGCCTAAATTGAACGGACTTGTGTTTGGATATGTTTGTTTATGTATTGTTTAATAAAGTGATAATCTTAAAAATGACTAACCCAAATCACCATAATGTTCAAAGAATTACATTTTAGACTAAAATAAATTTTATCAATCAAAAGTACATTTAGATTTCAGACTAAACATTGCAAACAAAGTAAAAATGATCACATCCAAAATTTCAAAAAATAAAATAAAATAAATCCAAAATTTAAAGAAAACGTTTCTTCATTAATTGAAATGTAACTAAAAAAAAGTAAGTTATGATACAAGGTATAAAAAGTTGTTATATTGTTGAAAAATCGGTGGTGATACTAAACCTTATGGATTTAATGTGCTATTGAAATTTTTTCATAAGTACAAATTAAAAGAAAAAAATACATCCCAATTTCAAAATTGTTGGTCATTTGGAAAAACGGATAAAACGTGGATCATTTAGATTAATTTTTCCTAATCATTTGGTTGTTTTGTGATTATCCCTTTAATAAATCAACATAATTATGTCATAGACGATAAAACTGTATTTAAAGCTTGTTTGAAATAATAATAAGTTGACTCTAATAATGATTACAACAAGCTTTTATATGCGTAATGTCCAGCAAACTCGACCACTTAAAAAATAAAAATAATAACGAAAGCAAATATAAGCCAAAAATGAAACTTAGTTTGAAGTTATTATTTATTTCATATTGAAGCGTATCACGTCATCATCAATGTTATTATCTTTTCACATTCTATAAAATGATCAACAAAGATTGTTGATTAAATTTCAACATAAAATGTCATGTCAACTGGACAACATCACCACTTTACTTTAATTTCTATGTTTCCTTTAAAGAAAAAAGCTTTGCATTCCATGTGCTACGATTCATTATTCATGCCCAAAATCGCTAAAAGCTAAACCAGTCTTTTTCTAAAGCTCTCACTATCATGTCAATATCATCAAGATTAAGTAACTAAAATATTAACAAGGTAAACTATGTATTTTTACCCAAATGGCAAAACATAAAACCATCTGCAAATTTTGTTTCATACCAAACTAACCTCACAATTCACAAATGGAATCTTGTTCTATTTCCAACATTAGAAGCAAATGCAAATTTTGGTTTACAAATAAAGAATGTTAGTATAAAATATTTTACTTAAAGCAACTCACCATAACTATATTCTCTTGAATTAAGTGAACCAAAAGTAACTCCATATCGCTTTGTGTTGACAGATTCATAATACTTTTCTTCCCCATAAATTCTCCTAAAATTACCAAACAAAAACAAATAAACAGAACAGAACAAGCATAAGATCAAGAAACTTACACTAAGACACACAACATGATTTACATTCAACTGAAAAGATTTAGAAAAGAATTTCTTAAGGTCCCACTTTTAGCATATTGCATAAGATCAAGAAACTTACACCAAGTCACTAACTCTGCAGCCTTTAAAGCCCTAACAGCATCTGAAGTGCCCATTTGAAATACCACCTGATTTCTTTCTTGCTCACAGGTTCTAAAAACAACATTCTTTGTACTCTTCTCCACTATATCAGTGCTACCAATAAATTCTACCATGTATAAAATTATTAGAGGTGTCAGTGTCAGCCACCTTCTTTACACATTATGAAAGATATCCAATTGTTTCAATAAATGGAGGGAGAAAAAAGAAAAACAATGTTGTATTACTGCAATTATAAACTACCATTTATGCAGCGTTCACATTTGAGTAGTTTATGATCAATAATCTCCTCTCCATATCTGCACCATATTGAGCTGCCAGTAATCTGAATGGTAATTCCCCTGACAAAACAACATCAACAAAGTTGTGTAACTCGACCTCTGTTTATAATATTGACTAATGAGTCTTAAACATGAACGTAAAAGCAATTTGATCTTAAACACCGGTAACCTCCCACTTCTGATGCTTGTTATAATGTTCAGTTCCCTTAGGTTAAATTTTCTCAAAAGTTTAAAAACTCAACTAGAATGACAACCGATGTTATATTTCGATTGAACCTCGGAAATGAGGATTTTTTTCAATCCTCTACTAACTTGAAACCCACAGTTGAAGAACAATATCAACTGTGAATACTGGAATTGTTATTGGTTACAATTTAAGAGGCAAAACTAAAACCTGGGAGGATGTAAAAATTGAGGTACCATGTAAAATTAACAATACTGGAGTTGAAAGAAAGGACTTACAACTCGAACCATTGGAGCAAGAACAAGTTTATTCCTGTACTCCATCTTCTTCGTAGAATCGCACCGTCGCCACTCGATTGGTCGTAGTCAATGACAGATTATGATCAGAGTCCGCCGGGTCAAAAGTGCTGACCGATTTCATGGGTGGATCATCATATGATTTTATCATGTATGGAACAAATTGGGCCCAATACGGGATTGGATACTTGGATACATCCTTAATGGAAAACCCCCCTTACATTTTTACAATTTATTTAATTATTCACTGCACAGAAAATAAGTTCTTCAATGTTCACTACGGCTCTCGACAAGGCGGGGTTTGAAGGAGCTTTGAAAGCGAAAATGACTCTTGAGGGTAACTAATTATTAGGTTTGTTTTTATTTGGTTTTTTTTTTTTTTTTTACTTAATATATCATCAAACTTGTTCTTTGTTACGGTGAACACAAACAACAAGTTCGATGGTATATCGAGTACAAAAATAAGGAAATTGATCAAATGAGAATAAACTCAACAGTTGGTTACCCTCTTGAGTGACTGAGTCATTTTCCCCAAAAAATTAAATGAAATTAAAGTTGCAAAATTATCAAAGACTGCAACCTTCTTTGGCCATAACGTATATGAAGAGTGTTTCGGAGGGGTAACTTTGTTAAAACATGGTCTATGCTATACTTACTGTGGTTAGCTGTCAACACCTCTCTGCAAAAGGATATGACTGTGTATGAGAGGTATATTTATCAACATAAACGCTTACCTCAAGGTATATTATGGTGATGTGTCTGCAAAAGCTGCATGATATTATACATATTGATATTGTATCTTATCCCATGAATTCGATCTTAAAGCTAAGTAAACTAAAAAATCACAGAACTTGTGATTCCACTCGTTTGTAGACTTGTCTAGAATCCATGATACGATAAATCATTTAAATGTAGTCATGAAATGCATCTGCTTAGTCAAGATTCCCCTAATAAATATTCAAGTGCATTACAAAGTTGTACATGTATGAATAATGTTCTTTTGTAAATTATGTTTTGAAGAGAAACAAGAATGAATCTCATAAATTCATTAATATCAGCAGAAGATGATGTTGGATTTGCTGTAAATGAGTAAAGGGAAAATGAATCAGGAGGATAACCAACTGTTGCATTTGTTCTCATTTGGTCTCTTTCCTTTTTTTGTACTCAATATATCATCGAACTTGTTGTTTGTGTTAACCATAACCCTTTGACCGGCTATCATAGGTCAAAAGTCGGTCAAAAGCAAACAACAAGTTCGATGGTATATTGAGTACAAAAAAAAAGGGAAATGGACCAAATGAAAACAAACGCAACAGCTAGTTACCCTCAAAAGTCATTTTCCCGCTTTGAAACTATATGGTCAATCTTTGATTGAAACCCCAAAATTGCCAAGCGTTATCCTTTTTAAATTTTCACTTTTGTTCTAATATTATAAAATAAGGTTAATAGTCATCTCATTATGTCCATAGTTATAGTGATTAATACAAGTGCTAGAGTTCGCTCGCTGAAAAAATAGTTGTTAACTTATAAACTAACTTATCAATAAGCTATCTTAATTTTTTTTTTTATCAAAAGCTGGTTTATAAGGACATCTACAATAGTTTAATTTTAAAGTTTTTTACTTTTGACACATCACCTTGTCATTTATATTTATTTAATAAAAACATGTCAAAAACTCACTCCAATGGTTAACATTTGCCCAAAACTTTTTACAAATTGACGGATTCATTTTTCGTTTTGTTAAAAAGTTTTGGGAGGTTATAAAAAAGATTGATGATCGCCTTTGTTGAGGAATTTTATGTTAAGAGCTATATCTCAACCAGTTGTAACTCTTCTTTCATTTCTTAACTAGTTGTGAAACTCATGTATTACATGAGTTAATTTAAAAAAAAAAGTTAAAATATTTGAGAACTTTGAATTTATAAGAAAAATAATGAATTATTATAATGAAATATGTTTTTATCTTTTAAATGTAAACAAATAATTTAAATAAATAAACAAAAGAAACTTTAATTTTGAAAATTTTGAAATTAAAAGGTAAGTTGATTAATAAATTGATATCCACTTATTACTACATTTATTGCAATTATTACATTAAAATATTATGTGAAATTTAATAAAATAAAAAAACTCATAAAATGATATGTGGTAAAAAAAAATTCAAAATAACCACAAAATGACATTTGACAATTTGAATGAGAGTGTGACAAGTGGCAAAAAAATCTTCATTTATTAGAGTAGATTCCAAAGGTTAACAGCCCTATATATCAAAAAGATTATAGACCTATCAATTTAATTGGGGTCCAATACAAAATAATAGATAAGCTTTTAGCTAACCGCCTAGCTAATGTCATTGGTAGTATTATGGGTCCTTATGAATAACAACCCTATTATTGAGTTTAATCTACATGGTGGGCTTAGACAAGGTGATTCCTTGTCTTCCTTTCTTTTTATTATAGTCATGGAAGGTTTGCATGTTGTCATGGAGGATGTTGTATTTCATGGTTATTTTCGTGGGGCTAAAGTGGGTATGTAATCTCTGCTTATCTCTCATCTCTTTTATACAGAAGATGTCATCATTTTTGGGGAATTAGATGAAATTGAAATTTCGCAATTGGTTAATCATTCTCCGATGCTTTTACTACTTATGGGTCATTATCTTAATATTATGAGTCTAAATTGATATATTTTAAGATAAATAATATTGATAATGTTTTAAGTTAGATAATTACTGATATACTCAAAGTTTAAGAAAAAAGGAAGGAAAATGGAGCTGATAAGGTTCAAAATCCAGAAGTTGCCAAAAATCAGGGAGACGCTACGCAACAATGACCGATTACATGCCACGTCCAAGCTTAGAGTTGGAATCAAACACCTATTGTGAAGAACGCAACACGACAAATGACTTTACGTGACGCGTTTTCAAGGAATTCGGAAAAACTCTATAAATAGAAACTCTACTCAACTTTAAACATATCGGCATGTAGGTACATGATTTGATAACTACCATATTTAGACAAGAATCCACACACCTGAAGGGACATCACATGGAAACTTTTAATGGTTGTTATATTCTCAGAATGTGTTTTGAAGTGATAATAAATCAAATGCGAATGAGTGGATAAATCTATGTAATCCAACTAAAATCATCCATGAAAGTAATTAAACGTGTATAGTCACAATAAGAATGACATAAATATTATGAATAATTAATAATATATGATAGAGGGATCATCCGTCTAGTCATGCCATAAAGTTGTGATTACATGTATGTTTTCTAAGCCAGAATCTCCAAATTCTTTCAAGAAGTCTCTTCATTATAACCAAAGTAGCATGGATTTTTAGTTCTATTCGTCAATCAGAATAGTTGATTGGTTACAGACACCCGCATCATTCAAAGATTCCATGTCATCATCAAGCAAAATAGGCATCGGGGAGCCCTACAAATTTATCGGAAGAAACATCAATTCATAGATCAGCACAGCATATTTAGCCATACAAGCAGATAAGCATAAATCAGAATTTGTAGAAAAGATGAAATTGTGACATGAATGCTTATTTAGTCAAAGAAAAACAAACCTCTTCTTGAAGATAAAATATTGGCTTGATATATTTCAGTTTAAAGAAGGTCTCGCAGAGAGTCTTGAGCTTTCCAACCTTAAAAAAGGAATTGACATTATGAGTAAAGGGCATTTGACTATCACTACCAATAATTTTACACATAATAGCAACGCAACCTACTTACAATATGGGTGATGTAAGCACATTGTTTTTTTTTTTTTTTTTATTTATTATGGATTAAAAAAAAATTAAGGTGCAATGGCCATAATTATATTGGTGTAAAGAGTAAAGTAGGTTGCTATTTGTCATTCTCAGAAACAGAAAAATGAATAATACTTACAGTGGTGGTTGCTGGCAGTTTTTTTGTTAAAGGAGGCTTTTCAGCAATTGATGGTCCAACACACTTGAGAGTAATAGCTGCAAACCAAAGAGAGTAATATTCTTCTGGTAGGTAAACTATATAATATGTTTGTTGTTGATTTTAAACAAAAACCAAACTCATCCTACCTACAATATCCATTTATTACAAACAAACCTTTTGTTTAATGTTTTTTTTAATAAAGAAATAAGTTTATACAGAAAGGAGCCTTTCCCATCAAGTCCCAAGTTTGTAGAAAACTACCCTCCCTTGTTTATTCTTTACTCATTTATCCAGATAACACTTTTTCCAAACAATAAAATAAGAAAAAAGAAGGAAACAGGGAGGGAGTAAGTTTAACATGGAAAAAGAAAAATGTTTACATTTCAATAGGTATTTGCAAGAGTTTAGCCAAAAGAAAAGAAGAAAATAATAAATAAATTAGATTGATACCAATAAGTCCAGAAGCCATTTTTTGAGGCCCTGTTGGACCATTTAAAGGTCTCTCGTCCTCGATCCCATGAAATGCTTTAAGCTCAGTAAATCTGACATCATCAAGTTCAAAAAAAAATTTGAATATTTCATTCCAACAATAATATAAAAAACTTCCTTTTTTGGTCAATTTATTTTATAATCAGAATTTGCCAAACACTATCTTTTACATCATGTTTTGTTTTATAACAACTGATATCTGATTCTGGCTATTCTGTATCACATAATCAGTTTTAAACCATTTATATAGGAGGAATACATCAGTTTTAATATTGTAACTCGAATGAATACCATATTTCATACAACATAGACTAAAACATATAGAGGATCCAGGGACTAATAGTTTTAAACCATTTTCGAATAATTATTTCAGAAACCAAAATAAATAAATAACTAAAAGACACAAGGAAAGGAAAGGATGCTGGTAGAAAATAAAATAACCTTGGGTGAAGAGCCTTCATCTCTTCCAAATTTTGATGCACCTTTGACATTACAAGGCGTACATACCTGCAAAAAAGAATATTATATTTTGTGTTTTGTTATTATTAGAAAACACAACATTTACATTAAAATCATACCGAATCTCAGAGTCTTTGCGCTCTCGAGGGGTAATCTGATAAATCACAATAAGATGAGATGGATGCTTTAGGTCATAATTATTACTCTAAGGGTTAAATCTAAAAAGAATTTAGCCCTAAATGTAAATGGCAATATATGGATGAATTTACCTCACTCCCATTTAATATGTTTACTTTGGCCAAACGAGCAATCAAAACAAATCTTGCAAGCCCACCTCTGCTTGGATCAGTTACTGGATTGTCAGAGCACCGTATGTCCTGCATTGCATTTAAAAACTTGTTACAAATTTAATATTTATAGAAAGAATTAGACCAAAATACCACAAGTATGCATTTAATGTTAAGAAATACGTTTTCGGTTACAAATTTGTTACGCATTATTATTCTTGAAGGCAAGCTATGCCATAGTTTTCAGAATTGTGAGTAAAAATAAAGAATATAAATAAGCTTACCTACCATTAAGCCAGGATAAGAGTTTAGGGCATCAATGGAAGATGTCTCCTGGATTTTATTACCTCCTGGACACGCACCATAAATTTTCAATAACTTGGAATTGTTCAAGTAAGATAATATAATCCCAAAAAAAAAAAAAAAAAAAAACATAATCAATTACCAATAAGTAGGCAATGCAAATTTTGGAAAGGCTTATCAGGTTCATCTGTAGCTGAGGGGTACCAAATGCGCTCTATGTTATTCTTATTCAACTGAAGTTGCTCCAAACTGAATACAATTTCAAAAAAACCATTCAGTTGCTTAAATCCATTCGATATAAAATGGTGAAAGTACGAATGTATTATAAATTTATAACCTTTTTTTCCAAAACATATAACCAGGAAAAATGATTTCTTAGTATAAAGGTTTAATCACAAAGGGACTAGACCAATAAAATGAATGGTGAAAGTAAAGTATGTTGTATTTTGCCCCTAAGAAGCAAGAAGATACCATTTGAGTTGGGAAAGCTTCAGTATTTCACCCCAATCAGCTATATGATTATCTTCCAAGTTAAGAAGACGCAAAGAATCAAACCCTTTTACAATATTCGATGATGTAGGCTGCCCAAAACAACATGAACATGGTAAAACAACAAACATACAAGTGACATTATATGCAAAATCAACATGATAAATTACAGACCGTTATTTCCCTCAACTTATTTCCCATTAGATGCAGCTCTTCAATCACTTGGAGTGAATCTTTAAGCACTTCAATCTGCAAATGCAAATCAACTAGACTTCATTTCATTGCTATTCACCATTTTAAACTAGTCAATTGGAATTTGGAAGGAAGAAAAAGATTGCTTGCTTGCCTGAGACCAATTTATGGTAGTATTATTTAAAACTAAAATCCGAAGACTCTTTAGGTGAGATATTGCAATTACATCATGTGACATTTCATTGTTAGTCAAATTCAGTCCTGCAAGGCCTGGCAACCCACTGCAGATGCCATCAACATCCTGCAATACAAAGTTACAAACATAAACATACTCAACTTTGCAGCTTTACTTTCACAAATGTTTTCATAAAGGGTTAATCTACTTTATGCTCATTTCTGTTTTTTTCAGAAATGGCATGCACGTGTCAAAGCAAATATTCCTGGATTTTTAGTTATAATAGAATCTTCAACAAACACTTATACCAAATCTAGCATTCTTCCTAAACAACATGGGAATATAAATTTGTAAGTAGAAGAGCATACTTGCCAATCAGAAAGCAGATTTCCAGTTAAATCAAGCTCCTTTAGATCTGCAATAATGGACAAAGTTGTAATGCCACAAAACTAGGTGCAACTATCCATAGGAAAATGGTAAAAATACAAGAAAAGCCACAACAAAAATGGAGAAAAGAAGGTCAAACTTACTTGGTAGAGTGTTCCTGATTTGAAGAGGGTCTCCAGATGAGCTAACCCCTAAATACGATAATGATGCACCAGGCAACTCCTCAAATCGGCCCAGTATGTCTTGAATCTTTTCTTTACCCAACAGCTGAACATTGACTCGTTTGTTGGTGGCAGAAAATACGTACATTTCATCTGTGAATATGAAGAATAATAAACAGTCAAGTCATGACACATCGCCTTAAGAGTTGTGAATTGCATACCTTCTTCTTCTTTAGTAGAAGTGGTTCGGTATCGAATTTCTAGGGCCTGCAATAGCGAAACACCGGTGCTCAAATTGTGTGGGCGAGCGAAGGAAGCTGACTTGGGGAACTGAGCAATGAAGTAACGCACACCATTGACTGACCCGTCATGTTTGCCCCCGTCACGATTGTCCCAGTCGATCCCGATCCAGTCGCCGGAATAGCCTTCGACTGGTCCCACGTACTTTACGGTGCCGATTCGATGCGGGTCTCCAACCCAATGGACTCGCTGCCCGATTTTGAACTCGCATTGTTGGGTTGGTTTTTCCATGTCTCGTAAGTTTTGTAATTTGGATGCACAGAATCGAATCCCAATGGATTGGGACCGATTTACTGATCGTGCGTCTTTTCAGGTTGCTGATTAGACTACTCGGTGTAGGCCATAAATTTGGAAAGTAGAAGGTTTGAATTTCAAAAATCAGTTTTCATAACACCTATCAGATAATGAGATATTAGTAACATAAGTGAGCTGAATTAGCTTACAAATATAACAGTAAATTAAAATAAGATCGTTAGCGAAATCCTCCCTGATTGTAATCATCAGAGAGCTGAATATATACACAACACTTTCTAACAAAATTTTCAGTAAACGAGTCGAGAAATCATAAACTGTCACAATAGATTGGAAAACGAATGATTAAGACTCCAGATCCACGTAACATAAAGTGGTAAAGTTAATCATACTGAAAACGAAAAACACGAAAACATGAAAACGATAGATTCCGCCATCAAGTATGGGAATATATGAATGAATCACATGTGAAACATAGAACGATTAACAGGAAGACATTAAGATTGAAGAGGGAGAGAGAGTACCTTACCAGTTACCAGGGGGAGAGGGGCGGAGAACGGAGTTTCGCACCAGAGATTTGTGTGTAAAATTGAAGAAGTGATTTTGTTCAATTTACTTAGATGGCCCTTTCATTTCTTTAATTTTCTAATTCTTCCCCTGTAGTTATTTTTTTTTTCTCAACTTTTCAAGTCTCGTTTAAATTTTTTTTTTTAATGTGGACTACTTAAACCTTAAACATCCCGTTTCCGAATTCAACTTAACCAGAAAAAAGAAAGGAAATTGAGGGAAATGAAAAGAAAATAAAAGAAATTTGTGTTCCCAAGTTTAATTAAATAAAGGAAACGGAAGGAAATAGAATGATCATTTTTCTTCCTAACTTTCCTTCCGATTTGGAAAGATATGGAGAGAAATAACAAAATCTTTAATTTTCATTCTATTTCTCTCTAACTCGGAAACACAAAAAAGAAATTTCTTTTCATTTTCTCTTATTTTCTGTCCTTACTTTCTTTTCTTTTCTCTACTACAACTTGGGAACTAAGTGTTAAGGGAGTGTTTGGTAGCAGGGATTGGATGAACTGGATAGAACAAAAAAACATTAGAGGCGTGTTCAGCAAAAATAGTTGATAGTGGGTAGCTTGTAGCGGGTAGCGAGTAGTTTCTAGCTGGTAGCGTTTTGTTAAACGCTATGTGAAGTAGCATTTGGATTTGGAGCGTTTTGTTTAAACTAAACGTTAGAAGTTTGTAGTGTCAAACGAGACTTTCTGTTTAAAACGAAGCGTTTTGTCAAGCGCTAGAAGCTAGAAACTCTAAAAACGCTTCGTGACGAACACGCTCTAGATGTCGTTTGACATGCTTAGAACAGGAACAAAATCAGTTTTTGACCAAGTCATATGGGATAATTTGTTAAAAATGTAGTCCCACCCAAAATAATGGAGGGACAAAATAGATAATTACAAAAAACCCCTTAGCCTGGATGTTTCCTCGCTACCTTGATTGTTTTCCTACAAGACCATAGAGATTGTCTTCTCTATCTAAACATGATTTTTTTCCCACAAACATTGACTTCATCTTTTTTGTTTTCCACGGACATTCACAATCTTCTTATTCTATTGAGTTTGTCTCTCTTGGGAACCACGAATAAGTCTTACTCTTTTTTGTGTTTTTGTTTTTGACAAAAATGATCCATTATTTTTTCATGAAATTCTCAGATCCCATGTCCCGATCATCATTTCTTGACAAAAAACAATCCATCATTCCAGTTTTAGGAGATCAAATGTTCATCTAGAACATCATCCTTCAAGTGCAGTACAGGTTTTGAAAAATTAGCGTTTGATTCATTATTGCCCAAAACCATTATGAATTTGAAATAAAATGCAAAAGAAACAAAGTTCATTATGCAGGGTTAATTGGGTACTCCTGGTAATAGTGGATTATCTTTGGCTCTTTGCATTCGGGTCTTTCACGTGAATTAGGAAAAAAAAAACTTAAAGAGCTTTTTCTTAGTTAATTATGTGGTATTCTATTTCTAAAGGACAGTTTAGTAATTTTAAACTATTGTTCCGACCAATCTTAGTTTCATCAAACATTACAAATATAATTAGTTTTGTATTGTCCAGTTTAGTCTAGTCTTGTTCTATCTAATCTATGTACCAAACGCTACCTAAACGACATTATTTATGTCTCAAAAAAATAAACGTAATGACTTCCCGTCAGATCAATATGTAAATTGAACGGACTTGTGTTTGAATATTTTTATTTTTGTATTGTTTAATAAGGTGATAATCATATGTAACGACCCAAATTTTTCATTTTTAATTAATAAAACACATTTGCATAAACCATGAAATCCCAACATAATTGTTTTCAAATCAACATTCATTACAACTTATTTAAATCATCAGAGTGTCCCCAAAACATATCAGTGAAAGAGAGATAGAGTGCACGTCGCGCCATCACGCCTTGCCTTTGCCCTTGGGCTCAGATGTACCTGAAACAAATCAACAACTTGTAAGCGAAATGTTTAGTGAGTTCCCCAAAGCATACCACACACAATACACATACACATATCATGTTAGCTAATTAAACCTACACACATATCACGTAAGCCATGCATACATAAAACCTGTAATAATGTCATGGGCTACCCCACATGGTCTTTACCTAGGACTGCCATGGGCTACCCTACATGGTCTTATATCCAATGACATGAGCTACCCCACATGATCTTTACCTAGGACAACCATGGGCTACCCCACATGGTCTTACATCCAATGCCACGGGCTCCCCCCGAGGTCTTCCATGCAAAACACACATTCACATGTCATACCAAAACACATAATAACTAACACATAATGGGCCGGCCTTGGTGCCTTAGACCCATGGGTATGGTGAGAAGACTCACCTCTGCCTGCTGAATACAAAAGTTGTTCTCCTAACAGTCCGTAACCTCCCGTGCTGAATAATAATATTAAACAATGTTAGGAATTTAATTAATCAAAGGAAACCCAAACTCCAAACCCTTCCATAAGGCCCAATTATACATCCCTTGCTAATGGGCCCAAAGTCCAAGTCCAAAATCCTTAATGGGCCTCTTGGCCAAATAAGGCCCAATCAATATGTCCATGGCCCATAACAGATGATATGACTCATAATTCCTAGAATACAACCATGCCTAATAATCAACTGAGGCCCAATAGCTCAAAAGCCCAAAACAGATTCGGCCCAACTGTGATGCGTACGCTCGGCGTACTGGGGTCTTGGGACTACGCGCGGCGTACACTGGGTTACGCCCAGCGTACAACCAGTTTAAGCACTTTCTCCATTAAGTGCTTAATACTCGTTTCCTTTACGTCCAAAAGTCAGATCTAAGTTTGTTAAGACGTCCTAAGGCATAAAGTTGGCAACTTTCATGCCTTTGCATGCCTCATATACACCCAACACCTCCATTAAGAATTTTTCAAGGTCTTTAACCCATGCATGAGACTAATACTTCCTTCAAGACTCCATTTTTATGATACTAAAAGACCAAGGGACCCCAGATCTGTCATTCCCATCCTCTAGAGTTGCTTAACTCACCAATGGAGGTCCAAAATCAACCAAAAGGGACAAGATAGAAAACCCTAGCTAGATCTAGAGATTTAAGATGAAAGATCCAAGCTTTTTACCTCCAGAAGCTTTGCAAGATGACCAAGATGCAGGTTCTTGAAGCACCAACACGTCCCAAGCTTGCTTGACCACCTCTTCTTCTTGGAATGAACACTAAAAGGGCCACAAGTGCACTCTTTAAAGCTCAAAATGGTCTCACAAGTTTCTCTGGAGTGTAAGAACATTCTAAGGCTGTGGAGGCTCTCTAGGGTTAAGTCCAAGGGACTTAAGGTCGCTTAAATAGGTCTCATGTCCGAAAATTAGGGTTTTGAACCCCTGGCACGTACGCCCAACGTACTTCTGGTACGCCCAGCATACGTCCAGCTCCACCGCGACCATCCATACATAGTACGCTAAGCGTACACTTAAGTACGCCCAACGTACTTAAAGGACCAATAAAATGTAAATTCTTGAGGGTTTCAAGTCGTACCAGATTTAGGGTGTTACATCATAAAAATAACTAATATGATTATGAGAAATATAGTGAAATAACTTTTTTTGGATTTATCTAAATGGCCAAAATGTTCAAAGTACTACATTTGCAAAATAAATTTTACCAACTAAAAATACACTTTGGATTTCAGAGTAAACATTGCATTAAAAAAATGTATTCTGAAATTCAAGTAGATTTCAGAAATCAAAAGAAAAAATCTAAATTTTCAAAAATGCATCGTCCTTTACAGAAATCTAAAATACATTTTGGATTTCAGATTAAACATTGCAGACCAAACAAATGTATTCTAAAATTTTAAAGAGCATTTTTAAAATCCAAAGAACAAATCTAATATTTCAAAAAAAAAAAAAAAAAAAAAAAAAAACATTTCGTCCTTTACTAAAATGTAACAGAAAAATAAATAAGCATATCAAAAAAGAAATAGGTTTGACATAATATATATAAAAAGTCGTTATACAATTGAAAAACTAATTACTAAACATTACGTATTTAACAGATTAAAAAATTATAAATAAAATACTAAAAAAGAAATATGTATGATATAATTATAAAAAGTCGTTATACTGTTGAAAAACTAATTAAAAAAAAATACATATTATATATCATCGAAAATCCGAAGCACCCCTATTTCGAAATTGTTGGTTATATAGAAAATCGATAAAACATGGATCACTGATTTTCCTAATCTGTGGTCATTTTTGTGCTTATCCTTTAATAAATCAACAAAGTTGTGTATTACTAAAAAAAAAAAAAAAACTTATTTAAAAATAGTTTAAAATAATAATAAGTTGATACTAATAATGATTACAACAAATTTTTATGTATGTTTGCAGTTGTTTAAACATAAATCATATTCTAGTTCTAATTAATAAAATTATTAGTTTTATTTTCAAGCGTATGATCAAAATGATATTTTACCTTTTTCACATTCTATGAAAACATCAACAAAGATTGTTGATTAAATTTCAACAACCACTTTGCTTTAATTTCTATGTTTCCTTTGAAGAAACAAAAAGCATTCCATTCCATGTGCTACGTTCATTATCCATGCCCAAAATCGTTAAAAGGGAGACTGGTATTTAAAAAAAAAAAAAAAAAAAAAAAAAAAAAAAAAAAAAAAAAAAAACTCACTATCATGTCAATATCATCAAGACTATGTAACAAAAATATAAACATGGTAAACTATGTATTTTTACACAAATGGCAAAAGTAAAACCTAAAACCACATTAATTAATTTATGCAAATTTTGTATCATACCAAATTAACCTCACAATTCACAAATGAAATCTTGTTAGCATATGCAAAATTTTGCTTACAGATAAAGAATGTTAGTATAAGATATTTTACTTAAAGAACCTCACCATAACTATATTCTCTTGAATTAAGTGAACCAAAAGTAACTCCATATCGCTTTGTGTTGATAGATTCATAATACTTTTCTTCCCCATAAATTCTCCTAAAATTACCAAACAAAAACAAATAAACAGAACAGAACATG